TGGGTTTTGTCGTGTCAGGAGTTGCAAAGGCCCCGGAGGCGCTGGCAGGGGGGGCAGCGGGTGCCCCTCTGGGACCCCCCCACTGCACTACTGCCCCAGCCCCCCGGCAGCAGCACTTTGGGGGGGCTGCACCCCCCAACCACCCCCCAATGCTCCCGGGGGGGCCGGGCTGAGGTGGGGGCCGGCAGGGGGGTCCCAAAGGGGGCTTTTTGGGGGGGGGGCACAGCTGCGAGGGGGCACCCGGGAATGGTTTTATCACCTTTTTAAAACCCCCCCCCCAAATTTAGGTTTGTGAATTTTTTCTTACCTCAGGCGGAGGCCGAGGGGGGGTGCGGGCCAGGGGGGGGCCGGCGAGGCAGGCCGGGCCCACCTAAGCTAATATATATATATATATATATATAAATATATATAAAATATATAATTTTTGTAATTAAAAAAAAAATCTTTTTACGGGTCGTTTAAAAGCAGAAAATCCCAACACCAGACACGTCCCCCCCACAGGCACAGGGGGCCGGGCTGGGCTCCCCCCACACGCCAGACCCTTCACCCCCAAATATGGGGTTTGTGTCGGGGGGCTCCGCCAGACCCCCTGCAGCCGGGTTGGGGGGCACAGCGGGGCCGTGGCACCCCGGGTGCCCTGGGTGGGGCCCCCAGCCCCAAATACCAGCGCCGGATTTGACCTTGGTGCAAAATGTCTTAAACCCCCCAACCCAGGCGCCCGGCTCGGGGCGGGGGGGTCCCGGCACGGGGGTCCCGGYWCGGGGGTCCCSGCTYGGGGGTCCCGGCGGCACCGGCTGCGGGCGGTGCAATAGGAGCCGAACATTAACGCCCGCACCGGGGTGGGGGGCGCAGGACTCGGGGGGGTCACCCCCCAGCCCCGACAGCACCGGCCCCACCCAACACGTGCCTTCGGGCCACGGGCGGGGCCGCGGCACCGGGGTGATGCCCCCCTCCAGTTCCCGTGCCCGGTGGTGCCGTGACCGTGCCGGTGCTGTGGCCACWCTCGCTGGCGTTGTGGCCGTGTCACGTCGGTGCCACCGCAAGGCGCGCTTTGGTGCAACGCCGGTGCCACGGCCACGCGTGTCGGTGCCGCGGCAAACCCCCCCCGGTTGGTGCAATGCCGGTGCCGTGTCGTTGCGGTGCCGGTGCCGCGTCCCCGCGCGTCCCCCGCGCTCACTCCGTGGTGGCGCCGCGCGCTCCCGTCGCGACACGGCAGCGCCGTCGYGGGACGTGTCTTACTTAAATCAGCCCCCGTGACCCCCCACCCACCCCCCGAGCGGCCACACGGGGCCCTGGGGCAGCTCGTCCCGGGGTGAGGGGGCTCTCAGCCCGGTCCCCACCCCCCTCA